CTAATGAAACTATCAAAATGCCTGCCATTTGTTATAAATATTCACCTATTATAATGCGCAGTAAATTGCTGCTAATTAGTGAATGAGCGCTATGAATTGACAAATATTTCAATTAAGTCGAGCCATGAAAAGATTAGGAAAACGTATGCGAATATTTGTCATCTACCGCATGATAAACGCTCCAGGGGTCTTTGATTCAACAAAGACCTAAATCATCAAATGTTAACTTAATGGGTGTAGTAGTTAACGAATGAGACCATTCAAGTTTTCACATTTTCTTGGAAATGCGACTGACGGCAGTAAAAGATTTATCTTTTACAAAAGGGGGCAAGTGAGCAATTACTAAACTATATTGGGCACTGACCTTGAGCCCTATCTGCATTCGCAATATTGACAAGTCGGCTACGTTTTAATAGAACTACGTGCCCCTGAGATCTGCTTTGTTTGCTTCTATAACAGATAACCTTTTTAGCATTCGTAATCAATGATTTCATTCTCAAAAATGATATTTTCTTTTTCTGTATAGAAAAGGAACTCGTTCACATTTTTATCCATTTACATAAAAATGAGAGCAAATAATTCTGCCAAAATATATGAATTAGAAATACAAATAGACAACCCAGTGTTGCCCACAATACTGAGGAACATGATAAGGTCGTAAAGCTAAAAAGCAAATGGTTTCTGTTTTCCGATTTTTTATTTATTTAAAGATTAAAAAGGTAAGATTTCAATTAACCATAGAATGAAAATAATGGCTTTATAGTTAGCCATATATGGTGCACAAACTGCTTTCAAGCATATCTTAATGAACTGTTAATAAGATTAACGCGCGGATGTTAGCAATGACAACCATATAAACACTTTCTGAATCAGAAGGTTTGAATACCAACAATTTAAAGAAAAACTTTGTACTCAGCTAAATGGATTAGTTAGCTAAATAAAGGTATAGCTTTATGAGAAAAAGATGACTTGTTAATGCTTCGCTCCTTTCGTTTCCAAGGTTTCATCACAAAAAAAGTTTAAATGAGTCAGAGAACGTCGTTTAGGAGGCTGAGAGTGTGTGTGTGTCACAAATATGAAAGGGGAGCTTAAAATGCTTCGTTAAGATGAAGTCATCAATCGATAAGTAATTAGAAATGAGTAAGTTTTGACTCATACTTTTGTGCATCCTGTGGCCCGTTGATGATTTTTGACTCACTCCGCCTTAACAACGCCGGAAACCGAATTAAACCCTCTGGTCCTGCAAAGACTTTACCTTTTGTCTCAAGTTCTTCTGTGTACCCAGTGTTCCACTTAACTCCTCCTCTCCTCCAATTAGGGAGAGTTGACTTGCCTAGCTAGTCTTGGAAAGATTATAAGGAGTTTTTTTGGAACAAAGTAAATTCGGATTTTGGGGCAGCATTACTGCCTAGAATGATAATTAATGGTGAAAAGGTAGAAAATTCATGGCAATGACAATGTTTTCATTGGTCTTTAAAATTAATGTTGCATTAAATTGATGAATGTAGTACAACTCTGGCAAAGCAGAGTTAACTAATAGTACCAATAAATCGCCAATTTTCTGGATCAATTTTTTGTTCTGTTAGAAAGTTGGGACTTTTCAAGTAAAAAAACACTTTGATGGTACCCATTTTAAGCCATTTTTGCTGTACTGGCCATTTAATCGAACTGTCTGATCTGCAAAATAAGACTTATAGTATATTGAATTTATCAAAATTGGTTTTTCAACTTTTAAACATATCTCCCCCACCCCCCAAGCGTTAAAATAACACTCCAGAAATTATTCCTGTGTTTCAAAGTGAACAAGAGCACAATTTTCTTTGAAGGCAATAGAAGTTAGAATAATTGACATTGTGCTTTAGTAATACTTATCGAAATGACTTCTTAGGCGTAATGAACTAGGTGGTCATTGATTTATTGCCACACTGCAGTTGATTTCCATTCAGGATATTGTTCAAGAGAGTAAGAAGATCAATCAATAAGATGTAAACATTTAAGTGTCTCTAATGTGTTGACTCTTGTTCATTGGCTCGCCAGAAGTCAGGATGTGATGATCCAAATGAGTAATAATTATTTCATTTCTCTGTATTTCAGTAATCATTGCCTTCAAATATTTGTTTCAGGGCATATTCACAACCTCTATGTTTTATCAGTGGTCTTTTTAATTACTATTGCGGGTTTCGCGGCCTCCATTCATTACATATTTCAATAGAGAAAAGCAGTATGTTCTTACACAATTTTAGACTTAAAACTTATTTTGTATTTTTCTAAATGTTGGAGTAAAAAAATTGAACTAATTAAAAACCGGAACAAATGTTTTAATATATCCTTAAGTCTTGAAGGTAGGTCACATTTTTATGAAATTTCATTATTTGCCGCAATGAACTTTGTAAGAAATACGGAAGAAATGTAGTTTTTTCTTGTCCAGATGGCCAATTAATAACGTATAAAACAGAAAGACGATAATTCATTTATATCAAATGGCAGGCGTTTTGCTAGTTACCATTAGCCCTCTCGTCGACTTCAGGCTTCACAGAGAGGAGGAGGAACATCAAAGTGAAAAAAGTCGAGACAGGAGGGGAATAGAAGTGTTTCAAAGATTAAAAAGAGACAGTCACAAAGGTCGAAGAAGATGAAGTGGGTACTGTGAAATTAGTCGAATATGACATACAGCGGGGTCATTGTAGCTTGATTTCTGAAGTCAACTGCTGGTTTATAGACTTTTTTTGCCGTATAAGTATACATTGCCCGAAAGGCGATAATTCGATGATTGTTTTCACAGTATGTGTATTCCACTTAAATAGAGAAATCATTTAGGGGAATTATTTGAAGAAAATTTTGTTGGCTTGAATAATATTATATGATTTGATCTGTATCAAACCATCATGGCAGTAAATCATTAGAATGAAACATGATAATAAATTTAAATTTGCTCCCTAAATAGGGAGTAAAAAAGGATCGGTACCACTCTAAAACATCATTCGTTAAGATAGATTAACAGAAAACATATAAAATTACAAGGCGATTCTAATAAAATTAAAATTGAAATAAAGTGTGCGCTATTATTTTTCTTTAAGAGGTTAGTATAATTTTTGATACATGAAAAAGGGATCGTCAATAAAATTTTAAAAATTTCATTCTGATATATCAAACATATAATATAATGGCAGACTGATAAAAACGAGCAGTGGATACGAAATACTTTGTATTGACTGATGTTCAGGCGCATAAATTAACGCTGCCGTGTCGTGACTGTATATAGCTTTTTATCTTTTTTGGGACTCACGTGTTTAAGCAAAATACCGTGATTTTGTCGGCAAATTATTTAAAATTGGAATCGATATATTACAATATCAATATACAATAAAATATGTCGAAGACTTGGTTCAGTTTTTATGTAAGCAATTTCATTTGTTAATTATCTCTTTAGTACACTAACCTAAAGGCGGAGATACCTGAAAACATTAATGTTGCTCTTCAAGTAGCACATGCAAAAAATATTTTTGAGAAATATTTTGTGGTTGACAAAATGGGTTCATTAGTGAATACCAACATTTACGGCGGCAATGATCGTTTTATTAAGGAATGGCTCGCTGCTATTCTACATCGTGGTACTTCAACGGATCGTGTATTGGCATTGGGATATATGATCCGAGAAAAGCCTCTTTCTTCTCTGAGGCATATTGAAAGCTTACTAACATTAATATCACCTGTCAAGAAACAATTGTGCATTAAAGCCATCGAAGTGCTCGCAGATCTCTTTGAAACCACGCTTCTTCCAACGAAGCGGAGTCTCATTCCCTTCTCTAATCGTCCATTTTCCACTCTCTCCAAGTATCAATCAGTTCTAACAGAGGAATTATCACTGAAAGATTCTAAAAATGGCGCAGACTTACCTACTAACTGTCAAGAACATATACTCGGAATGTGGTATTTTGAAGACGCCATCAAGAAATACTATCGACAATATTTAACAGCTTTGGAGGTAAAATTTGGCATTTAAGTTATAGTCATTTATTTTCTTTTAGAAAGTTTTACTTAGTGAAACCTTCGAAGGCGAGAAATCAAAGGCCTTGAGTAAGTTGCGCTAACATAATTGACACCTTCTTTATTTAGATGCGATTATGAATTTAATCTCAAAGAAACCAGAATGCCGAGATATTGCCCTTGGTATAGTTGTTAACAAGCTTGGTGATCGTAGCAAGGGATTTGTTTCCAAAGTCAATTACAAACTTCGGTTACTTTGTAATGTTTGACACTATTTGTTCTTTTTCTGTGTTTGTTAAAGTGTTTCAAATTATTCTTTGTTTTGTGTTATCAGGTCAGAAATACTCCAATTTAAAGGCTGTGCTGGTGGAACAGCTTCGAGTTTTCCTCTTTCGGCCTAATCTTTTGGAGAGGGCCAAGTATTATGCCATTGTGTTTCTTTCTTGTATTCCGCTTTCAAAGAATGACAATCACAAATTGCTTGTTAAAGACGAGGATGGAACAAGCGATTCTTCTGTGGCTGCCGTACTATTTAAACTCTATCTCTCTTTTTTCTGCGCTTCTATTAAAGCGGATGAACTACCCGAGCGACTGATTGCTGCTCTACTTACTGGGATATGCCGGGTCTCGCCATTCATTTCATGTGAGTAAATCGACTACTTCTCTTTATTTATTAAACCAGTAATGATTGTTGCTTTTTGGCTATTGCATGCGATAACCTTTTAGGACGGGAGCTGGGAGTTGAGTTTAGTTGAATCAATTGAGCATTGAGGGTATTGCTTAAATCAAATAATTACCTAGCTATTTGCTTGCAGATGGATACTTGGATGACCAAATACTATTAGGGTTTCATTTTTTTTCTAAATAAGAGTACTAATATACAATTTAAGAGTCGATTGTCATGCTATTCTGACAATTCTTTTCTGTTTCGGTAATATCTTTCGAGTCATAACCTTTCAGTATGAAGAACGATGTTCTATGTTAATTACCTTCTGAATTTATATACTTAGTGTAATGTATTGATTGGCAATTGATTGCATATTAAATAGAAGTGTTATTGCATTGAAATATCCCTCTCACCTCTTACTAGAGTTGTCTTAGTAGTCTGATGGAATTTATGATTATGGTTAAATATTTTGATCTAAGGACCATCCTGGGTCGCTGTTCAGCTAGTTTTGTTTCATTGGAGGCTTATATAATTGTGCGGGCTGGGAGTCTTTAATTACCAAGGTTTTTGATTAAATTGTGAGCGTAATTTGTGGATTTTTTTTCTCTGGTAGCATAAACTGTTGTCCGATAGAAGTTCTTTTTTATGAATATTTTAGCCGATGTGTTATCAGACAACGTGAAGGACATTAATGCCGTCTTCAAGTTGGTCCATATTACGTCAAACTTCACAATCAGTCTGCAGGCTCTCAATTTCCTCTTTCAGCTCACAGTTCATCAGCCTACCTTGCGTGATCGATTTTACCAGGTGAGTTCGTGTCTCTATTTTTCATTATTGATTTGTTTTCTGAAGGTTTCAGGTGCTCGCATAATTTTCCAGAAATAACTCGGAGTAATTCCTTTAAACATAAATATATCGATTTCGACGTTAGTAGCATAACTTCCAATGCAATATTTGCCGAGTCGAGGGATTTCCACACTCGTTTTCTCCGAAATTTGATTCCTTGGACATCCTGAGTGCTTTGTCTCAACACGGGTGGATGAAGTTCGTAGAAAATAAATTTCATGTGCCGAGATTCGCATTTTCAATACCAGAAAGTTTGTTGTTATAAGACAATGAGTGTTTGGCAAGATATTAACTCGCCTTACCTTAATATTACATAGCTCATCATGCACTGTTTTTACTTACTGTATGATCTTAGTTTTGAGTTCCATTTCTTACGCCAAGCACTGTTCTCTATAGGCTTTATTTTCTCGAAAAGGTGCTGCATCTCTTTAAGAAACAAACTATTCCTCTGTTATTATCGATTCACATTCCTTGCAAATCTCGTTCACTTGAATTCCCTTGGAAATAGAGGTAATGGTTTAAGTTGCTAGAACTTTCCCAAAGGTGATTCAAGCGTATAGTATTTGCTGCTCAAAGATTCGATATTTTGTCCCTATTTCTCCCCTCCCCGAAGATTTGCCACTGATAGGAAATATGACACCGACCATGGTGCTTAAGCCTCGGATCTTAAATGATTAAGTTGTTTGTGCATCTGGAATCAAATTACTTAATTAATTTATTGTTCTCTTATGATTCCAGTAGGTAAATATTGCAAATTTAATAAATTTGGGCTTTTTTATCCTATTCCAGGCTCTTTACCGCAAGCTTGCAGATCCATCCATCCGTTGGTCAGCTCGTTTGCCTACTTTGTTAAAGTTGGTTTATCAGAGCATTCAAGCGGATACCGATGTTGAACGTAAAGCAGCCTTCGCCCAGCGTCTTCTCTCCGTTGCTTTGAATCATCCCAATTCGGGATTCGTGGCCGGATCACTCATCCTGCTAGAAAAAGTTCGATTAGAGTGCAATGTCGATGTCATTGGTAGTCTTACTCAGGTGAGTATGTTTATTTAAATCAGATAAGTGTAGATCTTGACTAGTAGGTATGTTTCATGTCCATTGAGGAGAACTGTTCCATTAGCTTCTTCTTGTCCATCCACTGTTTATGCATCAGAATCGTGGGTCCACTGATCGTGATCACTGACTTAACAGATGAACGCGTCGGCCACCGCGTCACAGCGCACGCTCAATCAAATACTGATTACTACCTTTATGTTGACTAATACACCGCTAGCACCGTGCAATTTTAGCTTACTGATAATTTAGATGCCACTCAAAGGAGGAAGGGGTGTAGTATCTAGAACTTATTCCGAGTTTTAAGCTTGAAGTCTCCTACATGAAACCAAAGAATTAATTGGAGAGACTGCCCAAAAATCGAAAAAGTGATACTTAAACATTCATTCAGGTCTATGAATGAGAGGACTTAAATGTTTCCATGGTGATATAAAAATACCAAATGTCTCTGATTGAAACCATTTAGATAAAAGCTGTGTTCTAAGTGGGCTCCTGGTAAAGGTTTTTCGATAATGCCCTCAAGAAATAATTCATTTCTTGCTAACTTAGTACTTATTCACTATTCTAAATCGTTCAATTAAAAATATGCTTATTTACCAATCCAGGAAAAGGTTTCAACAGAAGACCCCGGGATCCTTCTTCCAAAATCCATTGGAATGGTCAAACCAAGCCACCACGAAAACGATGCGAACGTGAATTCTGATGAGGAATACTTTTCAGATGCTCCCGGTTCAGATGACGACGAGGGGGGAAAAAAGACTCAAGACAGAGTGGATAGTGACGTCTTTGCTTGGGAACACAAAAATGTTGCCACTGGGAAGAGAAAAAAGTTGGGCAAAACCACTTCCGCTGTGCCAGTGATTGGTTATGACGATACCGCTAGGGATCCACGCTTCGCACGCGCATTTGGTCAGCCTTGTTGGTCACTCCAATTGTTGGCCGCACATGCTCATCCGACTGTTGCTCATTTCGCTCAATCTCTTCAACAAAAGAAGGCTTTTAAGTATCAGGGTGATCCCTTTGAGGACCTCTCTGTTGCCCACTTTATGGAACGATTTATCTACAAGAAGCCTAAATCGACTACGTCAGCTCCTCTACCGGGAAAAATTTCTGCGACCACTGTTAATAGGAAAAAGGTTCATGCTAAAACCCTTGCACCAGACAGTTTGGCGTATAAGAACCTCAAAACTGATCAAGTGCCTTCTGATGAACGGTTTATTCATAGGTTGGTTTAAATGTTTAACTTGTGCTACTTATTATTTATGAGTAGATGTGTGTAATTTTGGTTATGTTTTAGCTACTTCAACTTTATTGATGATCACCCAGCTAAGCGAGTGAACAAGGATGATGAAGATGGTTCTGATTTGGATGAAGATTTCGATCAGTATTTGAGTATGTGAAATTGCTAAATGGTTAAGATATTACTAATAACTGGGTCCTCAAGGGGTATTTTTTCCTGCTTTTTCAGGGAAGCATGAACGAGGTCTTATTCCAGATGATATTGACGACGACGAGATTGATGAGGATATCGATTACTGTACGTTTAAACAATCTGACTTTGCTCTGTTTATTATATACTTGCAGGCAACATTTCTGTTTTGATCTACTTTAAGCTGAATGTGATTATTTGCGAATGCGTAGATTAGATGTGCGGTTTTTAAGGAATGTTTTTCAGCCGGTCTTTCTCAATTGATTAATCAGAATGTAATCTAATTCTTCTGGCATAGTAAACGTTTATATGACTTGCCAGCTGTGTGAGCGTCTACTCTTTTTATTCTTAAGGTTGCATTTCTTTCACGCGACACCTTAATTTTCTTGCTTATTGAACTTTGGATGTTTAAGGTGAAGGTTAAACTTAATTTGACTTTTGTTTGCTCTTCAAATGTATTAGTAAAGTATTACAAGAAAGGGCTAACGTGGTAGGGATAATTGCGTCTTTAAATTATTTTCGTTTTTAATCGTATTTTCGATGTAAGAGGATAGTCTAGAAAACAGTCTACTAGTCTTTGTCTTAATCAATTGTTTCTGCTTTAATGGAAATCAGGCATCCAAATTTTCTAAAATTTCTTGAGATTTGGCATATACTCAAAAGCCATACAGTTAAATTCTTTGCACAAAATAGGAAGAAGGAATAAGTCAGAACTAGAACATTTAAATATGGTGTGCTTATGGCAAATAATTGGGCGACCCTAACTTGGCATTTCCATTTTAATAGCTACCGATGAGGAGGAAGAGAACGAAGAAGATGCTGACGACAAGAATGATGATGACGACGCTGATTTCGACGAGGAATTGGAAGATTTGAGCGATGATGCAAGTGGTGTAGGTGACGAAGACAGTGATGGTGATTTCGATGCAATGAGTGATGATAAACACAACAAGTGGGTTCTCTATTGATTTTTAATTCTTATTTTTATCAATTTTGACGCTCACTTCGTCTACTTTGGATCTTTCGTTCTGAAACTAGTAAAATCAAGCATATTAATCCCGGGTTGAAATTAAGTCATTTAGGCTTGATCATTTTTCTCAGGTAATACTTGAGGTCATGGAGGTTGTGGTCTTTCGGATCAATTGGCTATTTGATTGGTCAATGTGTTGCAATCAATGCCAGGGGCTAAGAGTGGAAGCTAAGACTTCTATACATTTTAAGAAGTGTTTGTGCGTACATAGATAAGTTTGCTATCTAACAGGCCATAGAAGTCCACTAACCTAACTTCTTTCGGTCTTCGCCTCACAACAAGTAGGAGAGAAGAGTTTATGGGTAGGAGACGTGTGTGTGTTGTGGTTACCGAGTAGTTAAAGGATACTATGTATATATGGAGGAAGTCGTACGGCCAAAGGCAGACTTGTGTAAATGTGCGGTTTCAATGGGACCATTTAAACTAATGCTAGTCTGAATGTTAGGCATTTAGGGAGGTGGGCTATAATTAGCTTCATTTTATCTAAGTACTAAATGTAGGTTAGAAATCGTATACTATTTGACACTAGGTTTAAGAAGTAAATGTTTTTTTGTTCTATATACTTTTCTTACAACCTCTCTAATTCCTTTGCTCATTGATTAATTCTAGGTCAGATAAATTCGACATGAACAAGCTTTTTGTGAGTGCCGATGAGATTGGAAATCTGTACGATAATCAAGAGGAGGATGGCGGTGGTGCCAAGGGCCAAAGGAAGTGGAAAAACAAGCATGGTCGACCTGGACTGGGTAAAAGGAAGTACAATGCTGCTGGTGGAAACAAGTTCACGAATAAAAGGAAATTCCCTCAATCAAAAAATAAGAACAAGGGCGCTTCGAAGTTTAAGAAACCGAGACGAGGTTAATTTGCCTCCCCTCCCCAGTCTATTTTTTGTACAGAGTGGTTATGTAATGAATTGTGAAATTACCAGTTTATTGCTTGTTTGTATTTAGTCTACTGATTATGCCATTTTCGTTTATAAGTAATATGTATTGGAGTAAAGAAACGCGGCTATTGAGTTAGCACAGAGAATAATGTGAATAGGTGTTGTTTTATGAGGGCTTATAACGCAAGTGATGTCAACAAAGAAAGGGAAGAAAAAAAGCCTTTTTATTGCGTTCTCGGTTTTATATCGCGCCGCGCTTAACACGCTCCTAAACTACAACCGCAGCGGTTTTATCAAGGAAAAATTGTTATGCTTATCTGAAACCGGATGCGTTGTGAAATAATGGGGCAAAACGGAGGTTTCTTTTTCAGGATTGATATATTGGCATTCTTTTGGTGAGCCTTGCGACTAGGAGGGATCTCGACGCCCTCGAGAATGCGTCACCAATTGACACCCTTATCTTTAATAATTTGCTAGCCTCCTTGGCTCAATCCAAGTTCCAAATCGCAACTCAAATTTTGAAGTTGCATCTGTTCTCTGATCTGGATTCTTTTATTTGGCATTTAAATAAACGGTTTGCCTTAGTAGCTATATAGTTAAAGTAAATACGGTCCCCGTAATTTGATTATCCTCTAAGAGTGCCATCACCTACTCAACCAATTCTCTAGACTCCACACCCATTTTTACCTCAAATGAATTTCTATGATTTTCAAGCATGGACCTGTAGGTTCTTAAACTTGGGACTCGTGTGCTTGAGTTTTGTGGGTTCGTTCTTAAGTGCCTTTACACCGAACGGAGTATCTTCTTCTGCTAAGCTCCCTCATCAATTTTGCACCCTGCGGGGTTAGTTTTTGAAACTTGAGCTTTGCCAATAACTTGATACGCCCCTCTAATATTTGAACAACTTGGAATGATTTTATCATTTATCAACCAGTGAACAGTAAAGATAAATAGTGATTCATAGTGCTCAGTTGTCTCTATAAGACTACGACTACTCAGGTTCCGGGGTAAAGTAAGAAGGAAATTGGCAATTTAAATGCAATTTTTTAATCTTTAAGGGAATTAAGTCTCTTATATCTACTTAAATATTTAGTGGCAGTTACTTTATTGGCATAATTTGTAGAATATTTATTTGTTACAAGAGACAGGCGTTCTGGTTGTTGTCATTAGCCCTTTAGCTGACTTCGGGTTTCACAGAGAGGAGGAGGAACATCAAAGTGACAAAAAGTCTAGAGGGGGGATAGAATAATGATTCACAGATGTAAATGAGACAGACCGACACAAAGGCAGAGAAAGGTAAGATGAGTACTGTGAAAGTGATCGAATAAGACATACAGTGGGGTCATGGTAGTTTGAAGTGAGAAGTTAACTGCCAGTTAATAGACTTTTTTGCCGTATGAGTATACGATGCCCAGGGTGCACTTCATGGAGGTAAGTCCTTCGCACACCCCGGTTTTAGAATAAAAATCCAATAACCGATAATATAGCAGGCCATTTTGCCCTATTCATTTAATTTCACCGAAAGTATTGATAAACTCATCCTGATTAGAATTAGGGAAACATGTTAACTAATACTGAAGAAGTGGCTTGACCAGGTACCTCCGATTTCACAGGATTACCTTCTGACAATGATTGTTTACAAAGATCTCTGCAAAACTATGTACATCCCAGAAGGAAGCGTACACTTAGACAACTTACAAGTTTATCGTATGTTTATAGCAAGGATTTGTTCTAAATATTACTCCAACGTATTTTTGAACAATAATTTGAAACTGACGAAAATCGTTTGTAGAGTTGCTTAAAAAAGTTTTCTATCACCTCGGTTGTCGCAGGATATCGATTTATACAAATCCACCTTAGAGTAAATCAGTTCTCTCTCCAGTTCATCCTGACACGACTATTACGAACCTTGAGCCCAACTATTTATATCATAAGTCCTTTAGTTGTCTTCGGACTTCACAGAGAGGAGGAATATCAAAGTCACAAAAGTCGAGAGGGAGGATGGGAACAGGAGAGTGATTCACAGATGTAAAAGGGAGACACAAAGGTGGAGAAAAAGGTAAGGTGGGTATTGTGAACTATGGCATACAGTGGGATTATGGTAGTTTGAAGTCAATTGACGGTTTATAGAAATTTTTGTCTTATGAGTATACGCTGCCCTGGGTGCACCACGTAGAAGCAAGTCTATCCCTCATACCCTTGTAGCCAAATACAGGAATATATATACTATTTATGTTGGTTTAAGATCTTCCCAAGTAGTCGTAGTTGTGTATACGATGGCCCATGAGTCATCTTGTGACAAATACACTAGCTTAAACGCGTTAGCTTCATATTTCGCCCATGTTTAGGCTTTAACTTTCACGCCCACCTTGGTATAATACGCTAATGGTAAACCTACGATTGCTACAATTCTCCTGATTTTGGAAGGAGCTCTCGTATCGTGTTAGCGTTCAAGAGGATCGTGAGATTTGCAAAGCGCGGTCCATAACCCTCTCTCGTTCGGGGGGGAGGGGGGGGGGATAGCAAGCTTGAAATATGTTCCACTTCTCCTTTTCATTTTAGTATACTTTGGAGGGATGTACGCTGTTACATTACTACCATTTTAACCCCCACATAAATGAAATACTTTATGACTAATTTATGTTCTTAACGAAAAATTCGTTGAATTCATTCCTATTACATGTTAACTGCTACTTAAAAGAGATGTCCAAGAGTGCTGACTTGGCATTAAGTTTGAATATCTTGAGTTAGGAGAATTCTATCTTTAGTGTTGTTAAAGGAAAACAAAAATTGAAGAGTAACCTTGATAACGCACTTTGATTGGTCTGCATTGGCCATGAAAGCACATTAACCCAGTAATTAATAGGGAAACAGGTAACTAGTCTATTGCGAATTTCGAATCGATTCGCCTAAATTTAGTAAGCCTAAGGTTTGGTATTCGTCCAGAAAGATGTCTGCCAAAAACATTGAACTACCTGACTATCTATAATAGGTATCGCCTTTCTGCAAGGATGAGGCTCCAATCTAGTTCCAAGGAACGGAAGATGGTACCGGGAAGCCGAAATAAGCGTCAAAAAGCCAATGTGTTCTCTCCTCATCTATTTGAGTGAAAAAAACTTGTATCCCCTCACAAACGCCCATTCCACTCACAAATTTAAGCTTATTAGATTAGCGAAGAACGATTTATTTGTTTCTTCATAATATAAAAATCAAATTAGCCCCCCCCCCCACCCGCCTCATTCCTTTATTTTCGTAACAACATTCGTGGGAGCAGAGCAAATGAGTGCTCACTCTCAACTTTGTAGCTGTTAAGCAAAATAAAACTGTTTTGATTTAGTAAACTAGACAGAGTAGTTGTTCACAAAATCACGCCATTTATCGGTTCCTACCCTGGGGCTGTAAAAATAACTTGTTTATCAAATAAGGGCACCTTGACAAGGAGGTTAATCAAAGTTTCCAAAAAATGATCACTTTATCGAAAATTCATCAAAAAGCCAACTGGCGTTTATTTATATAAATGGCAGGCGTTCTGATAATTATCACTAGCTCTTTAGTTGACATCAGGCTTCACAGAGGGGGAGGAACATCAAAGTGGAAAATAAGTCGAGAGGGGGGGGGGAACAGAAGAGTGCTTCAAAGACGAAGGTAGAAAAAAGGTGAGGTGAGTACTGTAGAAGTAGTCGAATATGGCATACAGTGGGGTCATGGCAGTTTGAAATCAGAAGTCAACTGCCGGTCAATAGACTCTTTTTGCCATATGGGTATACGTTGACCAGGGTGCACCACGTAGAGGTAAGTCTAGTGCATTTAGTTTCGAGGACATGACCATCTGTTTATGTGCTATTCAAAGGCCAATGTCACCTCATCGCCTGAAAAAGAGCCCAGTCACTCCAATTAGTTATATTTTTAGACGCCCATGTTAATTAATAGACGCAAATTGGATCAAAGCCCAGTTTGATGCAAAAACACAGCTATATTCATGGTTCCTTTAAAGTACCTTCTAGAATCGATTGTGATATGCCAGATTTCGTCACCAGACGTCGACAATTAATTTTTTTTCAATTTTAATGAAGGTGTAAGTAATTGTTTATTATTATATGAAAGCCTTACTTGACATTTTAATTGAGCAACAAGACAGTTGTTCGAGTTTATAATTTCTCACCTAAACAGCTCATATTTTGATGTCCTTGAATATCAGGAAATACTTGCTTGTTTGTTGAAATTCTATAAGAATCATTATTATTTTACTTGTAAGTGAAATTTTTCTTCATAATCTTAATATTTCAACGAATTATTAAGCAATTGCCTGTTGAAACGGTGACCTCAACGTTTTAGAAATAATTGTGCTAATAGGGTGAATTCACGACATCATTTGGCTGAAGAAATGTTGTTACAAGTCGTCACTTCTGGAAAATTCGACACCTGTTGCGATTAGAATAGTCAGAATTTGTCTGAAATTTATTTATTTATTTTATTTATTTATATCAAATGGCAGGCGTCTTGA